CAATTTGTGAAAAAAATACATAAAAATCTTTTCTTGTATTATATTCTTTTCTTAATTTTTTTCTCATATACACGCTTTAATGCTCAAACCACAGCGTGTTGGTATTCTCTCTCGGTGACAACACAAACTCCTCAATACAAATTGTTAAAACAAAGGTGGTTAGCTACAGGTGTTGCTGCGGTTGCTTACCCACAATATTAAACCACAGCAAGTCTCCATCGTCATCAGAAGCTTGGATAAGCGCAACTAGATACCCCACCGCATCACTCTCTGTGATCTCGACATGCTGATTAGGAAGCTTCACTTGTGGTGGGTGCGGTGATTCTCGAGGTACTGAAGCCACCTGAACTGCCACACGAATTGCATGACTGCGCTGTGGCTGGCCATTATCTTGAGCTCGAATCTATTCATTACAATTCATTATTAAAGATTCTTTGTTCAGGTTTACCTAAGAGTAGAAATGTGAAAAATGGTACCATGTTTCCACGTGGACACTACGAATCCATATCTAGCGTTGCAAACTTGAAGAACTTTTCAAAACTGGAATGTCATTATAACCAAAAATTTTTACCTATTTATAAATGGTTCAAGTATGACTTCATAAAAACCACAGTGATCACATGAATGTTATATACTAGCAATATGAAACAGCGACTTATACAAAGGTATTGATAATTCGTGTAAAATTATTTTTTGTTTGTTTCAGAAGATATCCAGAATACATAATCACTAAACCACTATAATTTCAAACTAGTTGTATCAAGATAACTGTTAATTCAATCCTCACTAATAAATCAACTCAATCCTGAAGCACTAAGAAAGAGCAATATGACATTTTAAAATGTAATATCACGTTATCAAGTAAAATTTGCAGATCAAGATATCTTAAACAAAAATGCAAAAAAGTATGTTTTATTAAAATGAGTCATCTGTGACTACAAACCTTGAGAGATAAGTGGACAAATGGGTACTTTAAAGTACAATTTAATCAATTTGAGTAATTAATTCAACAATAATAATACGTTACCCACAGCCGTTAGCTAATTAACTAGAATCTTATTTTCAACACAACAGACTACATGCACTTTAATGGTGAGGAAAAAATGAGTTCCACAAAAGTCATTACAATTAATGTCACAATCAGCTTACCCTTAAATCATATTCCTGTCCTGCTGTGAACCCACGCTGTGAGTAAACAATGCCAGTTTTTGGATGGATTTTGAACTTCCCTATGCCTCGACCAGATTTGATGCTGTACTGTAGTTCCCCATTAGGGCCAATATCTTTATCATAGCCAAGGACCTGTCAAAATAATTCCATGCTTATTCTCTTGGTTTATATAATAAAAACAAATTAAAGGTTAATATTTTTAAACAAACTGTACAATGCTGAAAGTGGGTTGCTGACGTATTAGAGGTTTCATTCATAATATAAATAAGTTCTCTTTGGATGAAGCAGCAGGCTGAAAGTGGGTTGCTGACGTATTAGACATTTCATTCATAATATAAATAAATTCTCTTTAGATGAAGCAGCAAAAATAACACACAAATGTATGCATTATCTGCAACAATATGGAAGTCATTATAATAGATAAGGAATAAATGGGCAACTCTTCTATGTTTATTTCAACAAAACTACAGAATTTTAAATTGCATCATGTACACCTTGCAATTAGATCAGCTAATAGGCTGTACAGAAATCTGTTAAAATACTGAATTAAATTTATAAGGTAATATCTTTAACATAATAATTACATTTAATCTTCTGATAGCATTTTACATTTACGCCACACACTTCTCTTTATCAATCCAATCTTTTCAATCAGAAGACAGTACATATGGGATTTGCTGTAATGAAAGTGATACTGGGACAGGTTTGTCCAAGTACCGTAACATTCTGTTAATCATTATTCCACCAGCACCA